GTTGACCGTGGATATACCCCTTCCTCTCTCTCCGTCTCTTTCGTAGAATAACATGTCGGTGCTCCGCCAAAACTGTGACCCCAGCTTGCCGGAGGGACTTTGCGTGTTCGCAAATGTGTGTGGGTATATTAGCAACGTGATCTGGTTCCTAGTCCTGCTCCCACAGCTCGTCAAGAACTATCAGCGCAAGTCCACAACAGGATTGAGTTTCATATGGGCCTCCTGTAACTTCAGTGCCAGTCTGGTCAATCTTTTCTTTATCCTCGACATCAACGTCCCGCTGTTCACGCGCATCAGTGGTTGGTACATGCCCATCCTTGAGGCAGCAATGCTCCTTCAGTTTGCAGTCTATTCCAAGGTCTCGTTTCGTCGAAAGGCCCTCCTCGGTTTGATCTCGTCGTCGGTCTATGTAACGGCTATTGTTTTAGAAAGCGTGAAAATCCTGGGGAAGGACACATCCTCGAAACTGGTATGGATCTCAATTGTTCTCTGGTCAATCGAGACCTATTTCCAGGTGGTATTGAACATGAAACGACGGTCCGTCCAGGGTCAGTCGTACGTCTCGATGGGACTGTCGTTGGCGGGCAAGACCACGGATGTGATCATGCAGTTTTCACTGCTGATGCCGACTCAATACGTCTACATGACCTACTTTTCCTCGACCCTAGCCTATTTCAACATCATACAACTGGTCCTTTACACGCGACATCGGTGGTACACCAAACCCGCGGTAGCGACCTTGAGCCTTTTGCTCTGTGGGTTTGTGGCCTTGCTCATACTTCGAACGTCTGTCATTAGCATTATATGTCCAATTGGTATTTGTGTGTTCCTAGGAATTGGATTCATGGTTACCCGTCATCAACACCAGTCAAACTGCAATAATGAAACACTGCCATCATTTGACTCACAGTCTCAGACTTTTACTGAAGAATCTACTCAATCATCAAAATAAAGACTTCGACCCTGGGGAAACATGCCGCGATCTTGGATTGTCCGAGACTAGCGAAGGCAGAAGAGGGAGTAATTTGAAGACTGAAAGAGGGAGGAGAAGAAGAATATCCAGCAGTGAAAACGGTATCTCTTTCTTTCTTTTTTCCGTCTCCCTTTCCTAATCACACTTTTCATTTTCTTCCACTCCGGCGAAATAAACGAAAATGCGAGAGGCGGCAAACCATTAGTCCTCTTGGTTATCTCGGATATCATTTCCTCGGCCCTGCTTTTCAACGATCGTGAGGGTCATGGTCTCTCGGCCGCGTTCGTCGTAGTGCACTATGTGATCGAACATAAATGAGAGACATTATTATGATGTACTGGAAGAATCGACTGGACGCAATCGGGAACCAAGAACTCGGGTGGGGGGATCCAAGGTGGTCGAGGACTGGAATTGGTTCCATGGGATCGGTCCTGTTCGTAAACAGGTTCTCGAGGACAACAATTGCGAGAAACATTCTAAAACGACTGTGAATACCATCTCTCTAGAGCTGGTTATGATCGTGTTTCAATCGATCTCACTACTCAACGCGTATCTGTCCCTAAACGATGCGACGGCGTCCTATTGTCTGAAAGTTTTTGCACAAATGACTGGTCTGGGTCCTGGGACGCAAATTCCCTGTCCTTTCTCCCTGGGGGAACAGACAACCATCACCGCCACCCCGGATGACAAGCAGATGGGGAAAAAACAATCAAGATTCCAGTGTCTCTTTAAAAAATGATAACGATGTTATAAATAAAATCTTTGTTGTTCGATTCCATATTTTATTATAGCTTGATATCTCCATGTTTCTTGAGGAGAGGACGGATATACTCCTCATAGCCATCACAGACCTCACGTTTGTTCAAGGGTTCCGTCTGAGCCTTGTTCCACAAACGTCTGTAAGCATCGCCATCGCTCGCACCCAACGCCGAGTTCAACAAGAAATCAGGATGATCGAACGCATCGACCAAACCGACAGCCTCATCTGCCAAGGAGGCGACCAAGTCCTTGACCTGAGCTCTCAAGGAATGACACTGTGCAGGGGAGAAGTAACCGTCTTCGACAAAATCAGTTAAGCTTGTCTGGATCGTGTGCAACGCGTGCAAGTGCGAGAGACGCTCCAAAACCTTCACGGTAGGTCCCTGGGCCTGACGTTCGATATCCGTGTCGGGGTCCGAAGCTGCCCGGACAGCCTGAACGAACCAGAGAACCATGGTGTACTGTGCATGTGCATGCGAAACACGGAAACACTCGATGTTGTGATCTGACCAGGTCTTGGGGTTTGCAGGGTCCAATCCGCCAGCATCGACTGCATCGCTCAACTCGAACGCCAGTCTGGCGCAGCGATGCTCAAACGCCGCGATCTGAATCTCGGGCTTTAACCAGTCCTCGGGTTGAGCGACTGCGCAGGTCGTGCGCTCGAACGCATTCTTGTTCAGTCCTAACAACAAGTATCTCGAGAATGGCGTGACCTTCTCGGGTGTAGTCTTCGCAGTCTTGACCTCCTTCAAGAGATAACGGGCCATCTGTTGCGTCAAGACATAGTTATCACCCTCATATGTGTTGGAAGGGACGATCGAGGCAAACAAGTGAGCGATACCGGTAAAGTAAGAGAAACCATGACCACCCATCAACTTGCGGCACTCCTCGGTTCCGGCGGCACCGATCGTGGTACAGTAAGACTTGAGTGCGGATGACATGGCATGGACCTCAGCAAGGGCATCGATGTTGCCGTTGGACATGCTGGTCATGAGGCCAATGTACATCTCCATCATGACCTGACCGGCAGCGAACAACGCATAAGCTTGAGCAATCATGGGGAAGAGTCGGTTCTGGACCATGGGGTAGTTGATGACCTGAGTCTCTAGACCGGGGTTCAAGTCGGCGTCATTGCGGGAGGTGGGGTTGTTGAATTGACGACGGACGGTCAGGTAACGGGTCGAGACAGTGGTAGCACGACTGAGGTAGAGGGCCATCTGCTTGATCAGAACGGAACGCAAAAGGACCATGGAACCATATGAGAGCTAAAGACAGGGCAATAAACGCTTTTAACAACGAATAAAAGAAATACATACAGTCCATGATAAATGCAATATCTTCAAAAATTGTTCTGTCCTCACCTTGGCATGAGGGGGCTTGGTATAGACACCATCCTTGGAGACCTTGGAGAAACGCATCAACATGTTCTCACGAGGAATGCGATACTTTGTGAAGCGGGCGACTATTGGACAAAGAAATGACACTCGTTAGTCTCTTTGGCGTTGGTACGATACTTAAGGAAAAAAGACTCTTAAATATCAAAATGGTCGTCTGATAACCTACATCCGTTATCCATCTTGTTGAATCCGTTGTAGGCCTTGGGTCCGATATCACCTATCTCGACCCCCGGGAAGGTCTTGTGATCCTCCAATGATCTCAAAGGGATCACAAAGACATGAGCACCATAATCGACATCCTTGATGAACAACCTCGCCTGGACGACAGCATGGGTACAGAGCGCACCTAATCCACCGATCCACCACTTCGCGGCTGTGAACGTCGTACTGTTGATCTCCCATTCGTCCGTCTCCTGAACAAAGGAAGCGGTAGTCTCGAGTCTCGAGAGATTGGATCCATGGCCGAGTTCAGTTTGAGCATAACAACCGATGATTTGGTATTTCTCTGCTGGCGGGATCCACTTGTCGATCTGCTCATCTGTACCCTGAGAGGTGATCACAGGGATGAAGGCACCGTTGTGGAGAACAATCTATTGATGGAGCAAAGATGGTTTGGTGCCGATCAGCAGAGCAGCCAAAAAAATGATCAAAGCAAAGATCATGCGCGATGCGGTATCTCACGGGAAGGGTATCATCGATGGCCTCCATCATGGTGGCGAAATCCAGGTCGTTTAAGTCATGCTCCATCTTGATCTCGGCAAGACGGGTCGACATGGCGATACCACGCTTGACAGCATCCGTATGATTCAACCAACCCCTACAAACAAAAAATGAAAGACAGATTAAGAAAGGTCAAGAACTCGGATCACTACTTTCTCTTGAGAGAGACGTCTTGTTACATACCAGTCATCTTTGTTAAAAATGGGCTCGCGTGCGATCAAGTCGATAATGTACCGACGTTGATCCACATTGGCGGCTCCGCCGTGAAGATAGTTGGTCATGTCGGTGACATCGAAGCTGACCTTGGTCCTGGCAAGAGCCAGGTCCTTCATATTCTGTGACGGGGTCATAATTTATGCTTTCTGAGAGGAATGAAGGATTGAATGAGGAATGTAATGAATGAAAAAAACAAGAACTGATTGTGAAGAAAAGTGGAGGGGTTGAAATACTCCACGGGAGCCAGGGGAAAAGTGTTGAGCTCAGTCGCCTTGCCCGCTCCACTTATACTTCCGCTTCGTTTACACTCTCTTTGTCTCTTTGGAAGAAATGGATATCAAACGCAGATTTGCACGCGGGAGAGCAGAAAGCCCTCTCAAGCGCGATCTGTATCCATCCGCGTTCAAATACTTGTGCTCTGTCCCTGAATTGCCTGAAAAGGGGAGACAATCGCTGTCTGTGATGTTCACTTGATCCAATCCGTTTTTTTTGCATCGACGTTTACCTGTTTTTGTCCCACACGCACACAGAAACCTGCACGATTAACTGAACACAAGAAGGAAGGACGTTTTTTTTTTTCGCTTTCTCGGCTCTCTTCAGTCACTTTCTTCCAGCCGCGTTTTTCGCTTCGAAAGGTCTTCTCTCCCCAAAACTTTTTTCGACAGACCTATTTAAAACACGTCCTAGATCTCTTTCCACTCTCCACCCTATACAACAATTCCTTTGTCCTCATCATTGACTAATAAATCCTTGATATCTCCAAGGTACCAACACCTGAACCGAGGTCAAAAAGAAGGAGTAGAGCTTTTTTTTTAATATTGCAATGTTGGCCTTCGCGTCTATTTATCATGTACGTAAAATTCATAAATTTACGTACACAATCTGAGCAGTTGGTATAACTACCAAAAAATCTGAAACCGACGATTGCAATGCACGTCGGCTTCGGCTAGTGGTTATGCCGTGAGGTTTAGGCCCTCTGCCTTTATTGGCGCGTGGGTTCAAATCCCACAGCCGACATTTAGTTTTTTTTTTTTTTTTTTCGTCTCCTGAGGTCAGGCTTGGAGTCCGCTCTTTGGAGACTTTGAGACTCTTGGACTTGGCTGAAAGATAGAAGAAAAGACATTATCAGTGTATTTTTTATCAATTTTTTTTGTTTTTATTACTATTGATATGCTGAATGGTTTGCCTTGAGACGAGTTCAAGTATGATGGGTGGGGATGCGGCTGTGAAAAGAAAAGCAAAGGAAGAGAAGACTATGGTATATCGAACAAGAGTTGAGAGTGGAGATAAGAAGAGAAAGAGGATATCTTTACTCGCTCTTGGCATGATCGCCATAAATAGGGACCGAGGGGTTCTTCTTCTGGGCCTCGACCTCACCTCCAAACTCCACGACCGCAACACGCATCAAACTGAGTAAGTTACGGGCCGCGTTCGAATGATCGTACATGCCTCCGTTAAAAGCAGAGGTCATGTCCTTGCCAAGTCCCATCTTAATATATTTCTCACCACCGGGGTGCTCCGCCGCGAAATCTGCAACATCATAGACAACTCCCTCGAGCAAGATCCACTTCTTGTTATCGTTCTTGCAAGCGTGTTGGAAATCTTCGAAGGACAGGACGGGGAGATCAGCGATGGGGGTACCCCAGTGAAGTTGAGTTTTCTTCTCCATGACCTTCTTCTCAATCATCTGAAGTTGACCCTTGCGGACCTCATTGTCGGGGAAGGTCTTGAGGTGAGTTGCGAGACCAAAGAAAGCACAGGTGGCAATCAACCACTTTGTAGGGTCGTACTGATAAAAGCGAATGGCGTTGCGGTAATCCTGAGGGAACTGGTGGTGGAAGTTGTGGTAGCCCTCACCAAGGGTCATGAAAGCGGTGATGAAATGGTCGCGGGGGGTATGACGGTCATCAAAAGGACCCTCACCGAGCCAGTGAGCGAGTGAGTTGACACAGAAGGTGGCGTGGTGAACAAAGACGAGACGGGCGACAGCGGCAAAGAAATAACCTCCGCGCCAGTCACCCCAACCGAGTCCCGCAACAAGGGTAGGGAAGACGAAACCCATAAAGAGGACGAGTACAAGGTAATTCTTGTGTTGCCACTGAACCAGCTTGGACTTGTTCAAATCGTCAACGTCCGCGTGACCAATTTTCCATCCGGGGCGCTTGACCAACATCCATCCCAAGTGAGAGAAGAAAAGACCACGGTGGGCACTAGGAGAAACGAGGGTGAAAAAAAAAGAGTTAAAAAACACGGCCCAAAGAGTAGACGAGAGGTCGTAGAAACACAGCAAATGAATTTTTGGTATCTCAGACGATTTTGTTGTTGGGAGTTTGCCTTTTCAGTGGGGTAAAGAAGGAGCTTGTCTTTTCAGTGGGGTAAAGAAAAGTGAGGCAAAATAAAGGGTAGGTTTCCTCACCTGTAGGGATCCTTTTCGGTATCAGTCCAGCGATGGTGAGCACGATGGCCGCGGGACCACCACTTGATGGAACCTTCAACGGCACCGGCACCCAACAAGGCCAAGACAAAGCTCATAGCGGGACCAGCAGTATACGCACGATGTGCCCAAAGACGATGGTATCCTACGATAGCAAAAGAATAACATAAAAATTAGCAAAAAGTCGTCGTTTACAGAGGATATCAGAAGAAAGGCTTGGGAGAAAAAACGTACCGGCGGTGATACCAAGGCCAGTGGCAAAGTAATAGATAACAGACCAGATCAAAGTCTTTCTTTGAATCTCGGTAGTCAAAAGTCCATAGATAGCGATCAAGGGGGTTAACCCCAGACCGAGGACATGCTTCCAGTCCAAAAACTTATGAAAGTTGGAAATGGTAACCTTTTCAGGGAAGAGAGGGGGGAGTTCCTGATGAAGAAGAGGATCTCTCCGAGTCTCGGTGCTCGAGGCAGGGACGGTAAAGGAAGGAGGGAGAGGGGTAGCCATGATTATAGCTTAGATGACAGGAAGGGGGCGGATCGGAATAGAGAGAGGGGGAGGGGAGGAGGGATCGAGCAAGCTGAAAAGGTGTGCTTCAAGTGAACCTTTTCAATAACAAAAAGGTACAGGTGAAGAAAACTGGAGAGGAAGGAAAGAGAAGGAAAGAAAGCCAGGTCCCCAGGGGGCACTTGCTTTTTAAGGACCCTGCAACAAGCTACTGTACCCATCAAACTCTAGTTTTCGATTCTTGCTGACAACAGCTTTTTTTTTTTTTTGTGTGGAGAAAGGGTGATTCGGCCTGTTCCACAGGGACAGGGGTGAGGAGAAGGGTGCTCTATAGCCTTCGGCGAATGAAAACAATCTCAGAGATAAAATGATCTCGGACAAGTTGAGTCGACAATAACAATATGTCGGACTGGCGTGGATCGATTCAAAAAATTTCCAGAGGAGTATCAAACACCGCTGAAGGACCATAATTTGTTGGGTTTGTCTCAGTAAAGGTGTCTGGAGTATTTCGAAAGCCAAATTTGGACTTGTCATCGCAAATCGCAAGCTTAGCCACTCTCTCGGCGATCTTGGGATGATCGGGTTTTCTCCTGACATTTCGTATCTCATAGTCAGCATGATTCGTTCTTCGGTCAAGTATACAAAACGAGTGGACTTGGCCAAGCTTTGCACGAATTTAATTCTTTATTAAAAAACCCCAAAAAGTCTTTGACAAGAGGTGGGAATAAGACCAGTAAAGAAGTTTATGCTACCTTGGTGTGAAAAAAGGCCTTTACAAACGCCACAGCGGTTTCCAGTTCTAAAGCGATCCTCATCATTGAGTTCAAGACAGTGGTGGCGAATTTTCTTGAGATCGTCATGCTTGAAGAAAAAGACCTCAAGAAGCGTTCAAAGTTGCATAGGATTTGTGCGGATTTGATCCCGTGACCTAGTGCGCCACCAAATCCTGAATCCAGTCTGCCATCGTCTCCTACTCGTTCTTGTCACCAATTTTATCTTACACAAATCCCTTCTGCCATTCGTTGTTCGATACGAAAAAAATGCTCCCTTGACAGATGCGATCGGTCCCTGAGAATGCTCTGTGGTTGTCGGAATTGAATGAACTAGTTATCATAGTAAAGGAAGTGTTTGAAAAGTCACGCATTCTGCGATTCTTCAAAGATCTACTCTAGAGAAGTTAAGTGTGGCACCTTTGGCTTTCGAAAATACTCATACACTTTATATCAATGTTTTTTGTGAGGTTGGAACTGCATGTAAATGGATGACTAACCGGATAGCTAAGACAGCAATTGAGCAAGCAAGGAAGAAAAGTTCCTGACTTCCAAAGTTGTCCAGGCAGGCCGTAACTCGAGCTCCTTTTCGGTCTTTCCTGTCTTGGACTGTACGCGTAGTGCGGGCAATGAAAAAGGATGCTCTGCTGAGAATGAGACAGAAAAAATACTTTCTAGTCTTCCACGCCTGTCGTGCTTTTTCCCTTTCTCTTGTCCACAGTGCTTCATAAGCGCAAACACCAATATAGAAGTCCCTTCTGAGAAGGGGCCAACAGAACCACTGGAAACGAAGAGGAGGGGGAATGGGTCTCGATGAGTCTGATGCAAGCTCGTGTTGCATCATAGTTCCGTATGACCCAGATACCAGGAGAATGGAAAGAAGGCGCTGCATGAGAAAAAAATAAAATAAAAGATGATGCTAAGCAGAGCGGGCACAAAGGCGAACAGAAGGGAAACGGACATCAAACAAAGAGTCGGGGTTAAAAAATCTGCAGGCTTTGCTTGCGTGAGGATGGATCGAGGGAGAAGACAGCCAGATCCAAGAGTAAACCAAAGGAAGTGTCTCATCTCATGACAACCGAGTCGGGTTGGCGCTCACGACAACGGCCGAAATTCGAGAAAAGAGCAACAGGGGGCAACAGACAGGAGACAAGGGACAAGAGACAAGAGAAGCAGCAAAAATTCGTTATCAGATCCTTTTTTCATTCTGGAACCTGTGGCCAAACACTAAATGAACCCAAAGACAAAGGCAAGGAATAACCCTTTCCCCCTCGAACTGCCTCTCGTCGAATGAAAGTGTTTACCAGGGAATCGTTCCTGGTTTTCTTTTCTTCTTTTTGTGTACCCGGCTGTCCCCACAAGGACGTATGAATTGCTTTTTTTCAATGTGCGCCATCTGTCGTGAGGAAAGAACCAAACCATTATCAGATCCTGGTGTACACCCACGGGCGAAGAAATATGTAATAGAGAGAGAGTGTGTTCGCTGGAGGAGTGTGAATCGGGCCTATTCCCGCCATGCGACAAAAAAAAGATACATAAACCCAAACGATCCCATCTCCTTCTTTATCCTTTTCCTTCTCTTCTCCTTCACTTCACTCACACTCTCCCCCACTTTCTTCCACCACCCTCCTACCTCCCTACATTTTCCAACCATGAAGATTGCTACCCTCTCCGCCCTTGTTCTTGTTGCCGTCGCCTCTGCCCAGGTTGGCCCCGTTGATCCCTCCAAGCTCGCCAACGGCTGGTGCATGGGTGTCATTGCAGAATGTGAGGAGACGGTTGCCCCCAAGGCTTGCGGTGCCAACGCCACGTTCTCCAGTTCCTGCGAGGCTGTTTTCTCGACTGACAAGATTTGCATGTCCTTCAAGACTTCATGTACTTGCTCCGCTCTTGGTAGCAAGGAGATCAAAGATGTTTCCTTCGAAGCCTTCAATGCCACCTTCTCTGGCCCCAGTAAGTTTGTGACCTTTTACAACTACAATTATTTTTTTATTGAGGACCCCAGTAAACGCCACACCCATAACTTCGGTTTCTCACGACTCCTTTGACTTTTTTTCTCATCTTATAGTGGCCTCTTACGGTATGTGCGGAAATCTTCAGTGGTCCAAGAACACCACAGCTCCTGGCATCATCTCGGGCGACTACAAGCCCGACGGCAAGCGCCCCAACGGCACTGCTGCCACCCCCAAGCCTACAGGCTCTACTACCACTGGCGGTTCTAACCCTAGCCCTACTGGTGACAAGTCCACGAACGCTGCCGTCACTGTCCAGGCCACTCTCTCTACCCTGGCTCTTGCTGCCATCTCCT